CAAGACGTACCACCATCACCATCTACCTGCAGAGTGTTTCTCGTCTTGCAAAGTTAAAACTCTGTATCTATTAAAGAACAATTCCTCCTTCCTTCCTCTCCCAGTCACCGCCCTTGTACTTTCTGTCCCTACAAATTTGAGCTACACTGTACAATATTTGTTGTGTTATGTTGTCACTTAGCATAATTTCCTGCAAGTTCATACATGCTGTAGCATATGTCAACATTATCTTCCTTTTTAAAAACTGAGTAATATTCCACTGTATGTATGCACTACATTTTATTTATCTATTCACCCATCCATGGACAATTTCTTTGATTCCATTTTGTGGTTATTAAGAATAATATTTTTATGAACATGGGTGTAAAAATATCATTTTCAGTCCCTATTTTCAATTTTTTGGGGGAATATACCCAGAAATAGAATTAAGGGATCAAATAATAATTGCATTTTTAATTTGTTACAGCTTCACAGCTATTTCTCCTATTGGGTACATCACTTTGCATTCTACTGCAAAGTTTAATTTTTCTGCACCCTCCCCACACTTTTACCCCATGTTTTGTTTGTTTTTTAACAGTAGATTTTCTAATCCTAGTAGAGTGTGCAGTTGAGCCTCATTATGGTTGTGATTTGCATTTCTTTAGTGTTAAATAATGCTGAGAATTTTTTCAGGTGTTCATTGGTCATTTGTATATCTTTGTGTGTGTGTGTATGTGTGTGTGTAATTTGTGTATCTTAAAAGAAACGTCTATTTAAGTCTTTACTCATTTTTGAATTAGGATGTTTTCTTGTTGTTGAGTTGTAGCAGTTCTTAATGATTTTGGGATCAGATATATGGTTTGGAAGTTTAGTGGGCTGTCTTTTCACTGTTAATCTCATCCTTACGGTACAGAGGTCTTAAATATTTATATTGTCTAATTTATCCATTTTTTCTTTTATTGCCTGTGCTTTTATTGTCATATCCAAGAAATCTACCAAATCCCGTGTCATGAAGCTTGATATAGCTTACACAATACCTGTTTTCAACTCCCATTTGTTCCAGTGACCTTCCTAAGTGGAGAGATGGATTCTGCTCACTAGTGTGTTCTTAGCATTAAGCATATGTCTGGCACATAGTAAGGGCTTTCAGTACATTTTCGCTGAATTAGGGAACTTTGTTGGTTACTATCGTAGTCACTTTCTAGTTGCTGGGTCTAAATACCTAACACTCTCAAAGTAAAAGAGAAGTTTATTTTGGTTCACATTTTCAGAGGTCTCAGTCCATGCATGGTTGGCTGGTCCCAAGGCAGGAAAGGTACGTTGGAAGGGTCTGGCAGAGGAAAGCTGCTGATGTAATGGCAGTCAGGAAGCAGGGAGGGAACGGAGGCTTAGGGCAGGAGATAAACCCTTCTAGGTCACAGCCCCAGTGACTGTTTCTTCTGCCTTGTTGGAACAGACCCACTTCCTAACAGTCCATTTAGCTACACATTCATCAGTGGATTGAACCATTGATGAGAACAGCACCCTCATGATCAAGTCACCTTCCAAGAACCCAACCTCTCAACACAGTTGGCTTTTGGGGGACATGCTAGTTTTGAAGCGTAACAGTTATAATGAGAATAAGCCAAATAATATATGTGCAGTGATTTTTCTATCACCATAATAATTATAGTAGCTTCAAAAGCTTTAGGTACTTTGAAGACACATAAAGAAACCTCTGCATTAAAAGGATAATTCATGGACTTTTCATATTTTATCATGCTTAACAGTTCTTTAGTGATAATAATGACTGATAAAAACAAGAAGATTTTTTTTTAATCACTTGAGTCCATGAAACCCTCAGGAAACCATGAGGAGGCAGTCATTGAATGGAGAGTTGGCCAAGTTAGCCCCATGGACTTGGGGAGGTTATCATATCTATCTGAGCCTCCCTCAGTTGTATGTATGCATTGGGGGTGCATGGGCAGAGTATTACAAGATTCCTTCCAGTTCTAAAATGATAAAAGTATAAGTGTCAATGATAGGATACTCTAGATAGGAATCATTACCACTTCTGGAAGGAATCCAAGACAAAATCCACTACAATTTGGCCTCTCAAAGAGACGCTTTATGCCCTAGAAGTGATTGGGAAGGCTGTGAGTCAGTCTTCAGAGTTACATTCTTGCTCTTGCTATAAGTGCTTTCAGGGATGGCAGGGGCTTTGAAAATGAAATGGAATTACTATTGTTGTCATTTTTGAATCAAGGACATCCCAGCTTCAGCCATTCTAGAGTGAATCATCGTGTATGTAGATACGCTGGTGGCACAACTAGTTTAAATTAAGAGAGATTTGGCTGGTGCTGTAGTTTGGATCTGGAGTGGCCTCCAAAGGCCTGTGTGTTGCAGACTGGCTGCCAGCCCGATGCTGCTACTGGGAGGTGGAGAACCATTAGGAGGCGGGGCCTAGTGGGAGGGTGTAGGTATCTAGGAGCTGCCCTTGAAGGGGATACTGAGGCCCCAGGACTTTCTTCCCTCTCTCGTTTCTTCCCTAACACCATAAGGTGAATAGGACTCCTCTACCATGTGTTCCCCACCAGGCTCAAAGCACAAGGCCAAGCAACCAAGGGCTGAAACCTGTGAATCTGGGGGCAAAAATAAATCATTCCTCCTTATAAAATGATCATCTTAGTATTTTGTCACAGTGCTGGAAAACTGATGAACACAGTTACACTGTCATCTAAAACCACAAGTTCCAGCCCCTCCCAACCCTGCTCTTCTCCCGCGTTTCTCCTGGGTGAGTCTTAGGAGAGTTTGACAAGCGTTTACAGTTACACATCTCCCTGGTGGATGCCTCTGTAAGAGGTGACCTGGGGCATACATTCTGCCATGAACACACTAGGACCTTTGTGAGGCTGAGTATTGGGCTGTCTTTATGGGATTAAATGGCAGAGATCCAGCAAGGAGATCACAAAGATTTGTCTCTGACTTCTGCTCTTTCCATGTGCATGGTGTTTGGAAAAGTGACATACCTAGCTGGCAATGGGCTTCTGTAAGTCTAAAATAGTACAGGTTTTATCTATTGTTTCACATGCACACATACACAGACTATATTTGCTTACAAATGTAATGAATATTTATTATATTTCCCCTTTTTTGAAAGAGATAAGTCAGAGATGCCTACTGAGCACCTTTGATATGCTAGATACTTTTTTTTAATTTTTATTTTTATATGCTAGGTGCGATGTCAGGTGTTTAATTATCCAGTTAATGCTCAAAGAGTCCTATGAAGGAGTCATTTTTGGCCTATTTTAGGATGGAGTAGTTGATGCTCAGAGAGGTGAAGTGACTTGTTCAAAGCCATGCAGCACATACATTCAGAGTGAGGATTCCAGAACATACCTTCTGGTGCTAAAGGCAGGGAATGGATGTGGACATTGTAGACTAACATGATCTGCGTTGATGGGAGCCTGTCTTTCCCTGCTCCCCCTGCTTCAGTTGCTAATTGGCTTTCTTCTTTTGGGGCATCCAAAAGGGGCAGTTCTCAGCTTTGGAGACTTCTGCTTTTTACCATTGCTGAGGAGCAGATACCAACTATTTTTTCCCAGAATCCGCTTTCCATGTTTGGTCTGATTTGGGTGACACACAGTTGCTTCTGAGACAGTGATCAAAACATACATGAAGCATCCTCTCCCTGCCCCAGCCTTGCAGCCATTTCTTTTTCTCTTTTCCTTTTTCTGAATGTCCTCTCCAAACGCTCACTCTCCGCGGGGCCCTGGTGAGTGTGATGGTGTCCAGATGCCGGCTCTGGGCTCCGCATTCACAAAAGGCCAAGTTGACGTCCATTTTGCATCTGGCTTATTTGAGGCCAGAGGACTGAGCAGTAAGGTCCCCTGAGAGAGCCAGGAGAGATTTGCCTCCTGCAGAGGTTTGGATAAGCCCCAGCTAATCTCCATGGCTTCTTAACGGCACACCTGCTTGTCCGCTAGCCAGCAGCCTCCTCGCTCATTTCCCGTGGG